CGGATAGTTTGAACTGAAAGTCTTTTTTTTGCGAGGTCTGCAAAACGAAATATGGTAAGGAAACAAATGGACTTATTTTGGTGCAAAGAAAATGAGAAATGTAAAACGAAACAGAATATTCTGTTAGACACTGGAACTGGTGTTGATAAATTCTGAAACGAGAACTGGCTAATAAACTTCTCATCGTTGTCAACGGTTCCACGCCGACATATATGTGAAGCCTGTCATCCGTTACAGTTATTCACTCATAATCCATTGCCACTTCGAGGAACAATCATACATGATATACATTTAAACGATATGTTTGTATACTTGACAAAAAAGCAACGCAAGACTCCTATTTTTTCCAAATTTTAACCTTAATAAAAACGCAACCTAGTGTCTGAAGCTTTCAGAAAAGATGGATCGAAACTACAGCAACCTGATTGGCTGGCAAGGAGCCAATCAAACCGCAGCATTTTCGATCCTCCAAACGATCCAGGGTACATATATAAACGCCTACCAAATCACGGCTAACAATACGGAATGGTTCAGAGTTCACCTCAACCATCCAACCACAGAGCAACTGATAAGAATCGTAAGATCCCAAACCGCGGTCTTGCTTGTAAACTTATATTTAACTACATATATTATGTAGTAGCACAAAGAAGTCAGTCAATTGATTGGTAAACAAAGTATATGCTATGGTATTTTAAATATGGAGATTTTAAATACTATCCTCTAATAAACTACAGTCACATTCACAAGGCGATTGAGTAAAAAATCGACATTCAAAGGACACAGCATTATAACGTATTTAAATAATGCTTCCACCATAGGTGCGATAAATACCCAAAAGAACCAGAGTCTAATCTGGACATACTCAAAGAATGCATGCTGTGCACAGCTAAACCTCAACTTTACGGAGATGTTAAAAGCGGATACTTCAGATAACAGCAGCATTATTAACTTAACGCGATTTTAAGGAGACATATCTCATAAAACGGACAAAATATTCAACGGAATTACAAACGAACTGAATAAATTGTCTGTTGCATAAGGTGCTAAACTTACACATTTTTCCTCTGCTGAGCATAGAATGCACCGAACCTTTCTTCGGTCCGCTATATAGAAGCTATATCAACGTAACGAGCACAATAGCCCACCTATCGTACACTTTTTCATGTGTAAAATCCCTGAAAGAGTTCTCCTCTCCGGCTTCGCTAGCCCCTATAGTTATTCCAGGCAGCCAGTACTCTAATTTTACTTTCAATATTTTCATTGTCG